CAACACCCAGCTCATAAAAGACACGGATTGAGTTCCCAGCCCCCAGCTTGGGCCTTGGCCTAACCCTGGTCATTGTGGGCATTTGGGGAATGAAGCAGCAGATAGGAGCTACTTTCTCTCTACCTCTCAAACAATTTTTTTTTAATTAACAGAGCCAGTGTTATGGCGTAGCTGGTTAAGCCACTGGTAACGCCAGCATCCCACATGGGTGTCAGTTCTCATTCCAGCTGCTCCATTTCCAATCCAGCTCCCTGCTAATGTGCCTGGGAAAGCAGTGGAAGAATGGCCCAAGAGCTTGGGCCCCTGTTACCCACTTGGGAAAACAGGATGAAGCTACTAATTCCTGGCTTCAGCTTGCCCAGCCCTGGCTGTTGCAGCCCACATTTAGGGAGTGAACTATGGGATGGAAGATCCCTTTAAATACATAAATCTATCTGTAAAAAATTTAGCAAGCTTTTCTTTCTATGATTTCTCAAATTCTAAAAAGCCACAGGACAAACAAAACCTGTCAGCCCACAGAGCACAGGTGGGCAGCCTCTGCGGTGGGCATTCAGGAAGGACGCGGCTGGAGAGCTGGCCGGGCCAGGCCTCACCGGCGGCAGAGCTGAGTCCTCGGGCATCTGAGAAGGGAGGTCTCCAGGTGAAGAGGTGGTCTGGGTGCCTGGGCCGCCAAGGGCAGGGAAGCACAGGAGACAAGCAGAGGAGAGGGAGACCAGTGACCTGGAAGGGACTCCGCCTCCGGCCTCAAGCAGGTGCCAGGTAGCTGGAGACATTTCACAAACACCCAGGTCACAAGGTCCTAGGGAGGGAGCCCAGGAACCTGCATCTGCAGAGGTTGCCACAGGTGATTCTACCACCAGGAAAAGCGGGAGACTCAGGTTCGGATGTTAGGCAGTGCTGGCCTACGAAGGTGTGGTAGCAGGAAAGAAAGAACATCTGGAAACAATACTCACCAAGGAAAGCGCCAGAGGTCACAGTTACTGGGTGTGCAGGGAAGTGCTGAGAAGGAAAGGGACTGAAGGCATGGCCAGAGTCACCAGCCTCGGGACCGGAGTGGCCCCTGGAACAGTGAGGTGTGCAGGTGGGTGGAGGTGGCGAGGGCACAGAGGAAGACGCTGCATTTGTACACAGCTACACAGGTGCAAGGTCTGACCATCCAGGTCTGCAAAACGACTGTTCACACAGGAAACATCACGGGGACCCTTTAAAGCAGTGGTTCTGGGGCCAGCGCTGTGGCATAGGTTAAGCCTCTGCCTGCAGTGTGGGCATCCCATATGGGCAGCGGTTTGAGTCCCGGCTGCTCCACTTCTGATCCAGCTCCCTGCTAATGCACCTGGGAGGGCACTGGAAGACGCCCAAGTGCTTGAGCCCCTGCACTCAAGTGAAAGATCCTTCAGCTTGGCCCAACCCAGGCCGTTATGCCCATTTGGGGAGTGAACCCGTGAATGGAAGACCTCTCTCTCCTATCTCCGCCTTTCAAATAAATAAATAAATCTTTAAACAACCACAACAACAAAAGCAGTGGTTCTCTCTCCATGTTGGCATCACCGGGGAGCAAGACAGAGATGTGCCATCAGCCCCTGATTAGCTGATAAGGACGAGGACAAGGACAGAACCTACAATACTAAGTTGTTCGGAAGGTTAAATGAGTTACTCGAAGCGGCTGCTCAGGTCAGTGCCAGGCAAATGCAATCAGTATCATCGTACGTGCTGCATGCTGCACTATCATTGGCCATCAAACACTCAACAGAAAAGGCCTGCAGCTCTGGGATGGTAGGGGAGGGGTGAATCCCACCCCCTCTGTCCACCACACCAACATCCCTGAAACCTCTCCCCAGCTGCATCAGGGACATCACTTTGTATCTACGCCTGTATCCCTATCTTTACAGAGCTGTGGCCTCTCCACCTGTGAGAGAAAAACTGTAATCTGAGAGACAGAATCCTTCCGTGAGAGGTCTAGTGTGCACGCACATGCACTGACTCTGATATCATTTCTTCACTACTCAGAAGGTGCGTGCTCATGAAAATGATCAAATCATTTACTAGGAGAATAAAAAACGACATACTCCCTGCAAGCCAACAAAAAATCCCCAAGGTCCAGGCTGCACCCCAAGGCAGTTCAACCAGAATCTCCAAGCTGAGGCCCGGACATCAGTTTTTAAAACTGAATTCTTAAACTGAATTTTTAAAACTGAAGTTCCCAGGTAACTTCAACAGCCTTGTAAAGAATGACCTCCGGGACGGGCATTTGGTCCAGTGGATAAGATGCCCATTTCCCGTATCGGAGCTCCGGGGCTCAAGCCCTGATTCCAGCTCCCTGCTAATGCACACCCACCCTGGGAGGCAGCAGGTGATGGCTCAAGGACGTGGGTCCCTGGCACTCACGTGACAGCCCTGGACTGAGTTCCCAGCTCCCAGCTTCAGCCTGGCCCAGCCCTAGACACCACAGGCATTTGGGGAGTGAACCACCAGTGAACAGGAGCTGTCTCTCTCTGCTCTCCTCTCACCCCCGCTAATAAATCAGACGAGATAAAAAGCACAAACAAATCCAACCAATCCCAAAGCTCCCCCTGCATTTATCCCATACTCATCAATGAAACCTGATTGGGTCTGTCAAGACCACCTTCAGGCGGGAAGAGATCCACCTGGTAAGAACAAGCTCTCTCCCCCCAACTCTCTCCTCCTCCTCCTAACATGCCCCGCCCCTGCTGCTGCAGGTGTGCTTTCTGGATCTCCCAATCTCCTGTCCTCCAAGGATAACACTGGACACGTCTCAGGGCCTGCACGGCCTGACTCAGCCTGCTCTCTCCCTGCCCCCACGGTAGCCACACTACAGCACAGACTCGCCCTTTTGGCAAGTTCACCCCTCCTGGAATTCACTCTTCCTCTTCCCCGTCCCTTGAAATCCTCCATGTTCCCAGCATCCGAGCGTGACATTAGCCATCCCTCTGGCTGCTGCGCCCTGGCCCAGCCCACTGCTGACAGCTGGGGTCCACACTACAACCCACACTACAGCGGAACCCACTGCTAAGCTCTCCGCGTGGGTTTATGTCCATAATTGCAGCACCTGGCCCACAACACACACATTCCATAAATATCTGTTGTCGGCACCAAAGGAAGGTTCAGCCCCAAGACCTGAAATCACAAACTTGGAAAATGGAGCACCTGCCCTTGCGAAGCAAGCCACGCGGGAAGCCAGGCAGCTTGCCCTCTCCTGCCTCCCGGACCCTGAGACACTGGGCCTCGTGCTCAGCCTGAAATGCCCTCACCATCTGGCTAGGATGGGCTTCAAGATCCACATGGGACGAGGCAGCTCAGCCTTGTCTGTGCTTGACTTCGGAGGGAAACCCACACTGCCGACCTCATCAGGGATAACGCTAGGTAGCTGGTGATTCTAAACAGCCCCTCTCATCTGTGGCATGTGTGGTTCACTGCATTGTTGAACACGAGGAAATCACACGAATTTTGCAATCCTGGGATAAACCCAATCTGGTCAGGAGGAACCAGCCTTTGTTATGCACTGTTAGTTTTGGGGATCCTAGTATTTTGTAGAGGGTTTCTGGCATACCTACTTGAGTGAAACTGGCCTGTAATTTACTTTTCTTGCATCCCCCTTATCAGAGTTAGCATCCAGGTAATGGGTGGCCTCTATCAACACTCGGGAAAATTTTGTGTAAAACTGGATTACCTACTCCCTCCGTAACTGACGGAACTCACCAAGGAAGTGAGCTAGGCCCAGAGTTTATTTTATTTATTTATTTATATTTTTTTTGACAGGCAGAGTGGACAGTGAGAGAGACAGAGAGAAAGGTCTTCCTTTGCCGTTGGTTCACCCTCCAATGGCCGCTGCAGCCGGCGTGCTGCGCTGATCCGATGGCAGGAGCCAGGTACTTCTCCTGGTCTCCCATGGGGTGCAGGGCCCAAGTACTTTGGGCCATCCTCCACTGCACTCCCTGGCCACAGCAGAGAGCTGGCTTGGAAGAGGGGCAACCAGGCCAGAATCCAGCTCCCTGACCGGGACTAGAACCCGGTGTGCCCGCGCCACAAGGCAGAGGATTAGCCTAGTGAGCCACGGCGCTGGCCCAGAGTTTTCTTAGAAGGAAAAATCTTTGATGGCGTATTTCAAGTCTTTAATAACTATGGACTATATTGATTTTCTATTTTTAATCAACTTTGGTATTTTTTTCTAGGTGATTCCAACAATTCAGGTTTCAAACATAACTATTGGGGGGGGGGGGGGGGTTGGAGCTGTGTCTCAGCAGGTAAAGCCGCCTATGACACCGGCATCCCATATGAGCGCTGTGTTCGATCCGGCTGCTCCACTTCCCAACCAGCTCTCTGCTAATGGTCTGGGAAAGAAAGGAGATGATTTAAGGGCCTGGAACCCTGCCACCTACACAGGAGACCCGGATGACACTCCTGGCTCCTGGCTTTGGCCTGGCCCCATGCTGGCTGTTGTGGCCATCGGGGGAGTGAACCAGGGAATGGAAGAGCTCTCTCTGTAACTCTTTCAAATAAGTAAATCTTAAAAATAAATAAATCATTTCTGGAAGGCTTACCCCCAAGGTCAACTCTGTAAGAAATGAGTGCCCCGGAGCCCTCAGGGAAGGGCTCACGTATGCACTGTTTGTTAGCTTGTAAGAGTACTCATCATTTAATACTGCATCTAAAGATCAAGGCCTGGGTGGCTTTGGTGACTTCTGGTGTCCAGTTATTTGCAAAGGGATGGGTCACTTCCTAGTTACACAGGACAGAACCCGACTCAGATCAACACCCTTTTTTGCTGATCATGCTAGAAAATTCTGCAGATGACTCGCTCCTGGGAGTCCCTTGTCTTTGACACTAGGTGCTCGGGAGTGAGTGTTCTGAGCTCACGGAAACCTTCCCCACGGCCCGAAGTCTGGGGGTTGCCACGTCCACTCGGAGCTGCCCCCGGCTCTGTGTGCACGGGCCACTCGGCCCAGGACGCAGTGGGTAGCGCTGGGGCAAAACACACTCACCAGGGCCTCAAAGTCCTTACAGTCGTGGCGGGCGTAGGACGCGGGGAAAGGCCGCAACACCGAGTCGCGCTTGTAGCTCTGCAGGGCCGAGGCGAAGAGGCTGCACCGGAGGTCGGCGGCCAGCACGTCGCGGCCCGCAGCCTCCCTGGCGGCCGCCCTGCCCGAGGACTGCATCCCGCTCCGGGGAGAGGCCGGGCCTCGGGACAATGGGCTGCCTGGGGCCGGGGTTCCCGAGCCTGCGGAGGAGCCGGGCACGGGGACGAAGTGACAGCGGTGAGAACCTGCTGGCTAGCGTCCCCTGCGGGAGCTGGGCCCGCGCGCTCGCCGCCGGAGGGCCGGATCCGCGCGGGGAAGAGGCGGCCGGGACCGCAGGTCAGCACCAGGGCTAGGCCCCGGGATAATGGGGCCGGGGTCCCAGCCAGGGGAGGGGCTGTGACATGGGATGAGATGACAACCGCGGGAACGCGCTGATGCGCGTCCCGGGCAGGAGCCGGGCGCGGGCGGCCCGGGGTTGCGCGCCGGAGCCCCGTCCCCGCGCCGGGCCTTCCTGCCCCGCCTCCCGCCGCGCCGCCGAAGCCCCGGCGCTCGCCCGGCTGCCCTCGGCGCCGCCTGCGCGCCGCTCGCCGCGCCCAGCCCGCCGGACCGGGCTCCAGCGCGCGGGCCCACCTGCGCTCCCACGCCGCTCCGGCTTCTCCCGCCCCGCCGGACGGGCTGCGCGCGCCCGCCCGCCCGCGCCCCTGGTCTCCACCTGCGAGGCGTGCAGCCGCCCGGGATGGAAGCTGACCCGGGCGCCCCGCCTTGACCCGCCCGTGGACTTGCCTTTGTCCGGGGTCGGAGGACTGCGTCTGCTAGGCTCGCCTGCTACCTGCTGTGTCCCTCTGAAACCGCCGAGGGGCCCGCTAAGCTAAGGCTCCGAGCGGCGCGATGCTGGCTCGAGGTCCCACAGCCAAACCACGGGGCCTCTCCGCCGCCTTAGTCTCCAGAAGTCTGTGGCTCGGATGTCCCCAGACCCTTTTCTGAAGCCCCTCTGACTGGGGGCCGGGGGAGCCGGGGTGGGGCGCAGAGGGAAAGGACCGGATTCCCAGCCCCGCTCCCTGTTGGGAACCTCATGAGAAAACTGGGCACATGGAAATCCACGCACAGGCCGCTGCCGAATTCCTAGACAGAGAAGCCCCCGGGGTTATTTCATTTCCACCAATTTGTGAGTTTTTCAAATTGTCTTCGTTATTCATTTCTGTCCTCATTTCACTGTAGTCCAAGAACACGCTTTTATTTTTATCTGTCCGTTTAAATTCGTTGAGGTTTGTTTTTGGGCCTAGCATATGGCCAACCTGGCGAATATTCTGTGTGCACTTAAGAAAAATGTATATTCTTGGGCCGGTGCTGTGATGCGGCAGGTCAGCCGCCTGCAGTGCCTGCGTACCACGTGGGCACTGGTTCAGGTCCCTGCTGCTCCACACTTGCATCCAGCTCCCTGCTAATGCCCTGGGAAAAGTAGCAGAAGAGGACTCAAGGGCTTGGGCCCCTGCCACCCATGTGAGAGACCCGGAAGAAGCCCCTGGCTCCTGACTTAGGCCTGGCCCAGCCCTGGCCATTGCAGCCTTTTGGAGAGTGAACTAGCAGATGGAGGATCTCTCTTGTCTCTGTCCCCAACCCCCCAACTCTGCCTTTCAAATAAATAAACCTTTAAAAAAAAAAAAAAAAAGAATATGTATGTCCTGCAGTTGGATCAAGTGGTCACTACTTGTCCGTTGGGTCCAGTTGGTTTATGCTGTTCTCAATGTTTATATTCCCTTGTGGATTTTCTGTCTCGTTCTATCATTGCTGAAAGCTGGGTATTAGAGTCTCATGGTAGATAATTTTATGTGTGAACTTGACTTGGCTAAGGAATGTCCAGAAAGCGGATAAAACATCTTCCTGGGTGTGCTGTGAGGGTATTTCTGGAAGAGAGAGCATCTGAATTACTAGACTGGGTACAGAGGAGTGCGCTCACCAGTGTGAATACGCATCGTCCTATCTGTGGAGGGACTGAGTAGAGCAAAGAGGTGGAGGAGGGGTGGATTCAGTCTCCCTCCCTGAGCTGTGATGGCCACCTTCTGCCCTCAGGCCTTAGCTTCCAGCTTGCAGCCCACGGATCATGGGACTTCTCAACCTCCTTGGTCACGAGAGCCCAACGTCATAAACACTCTGTGTGTTATGTGGAGAGATATGTTACCGTCTGGGTATGGATATATGGATGTATATAGAAATGGGTACATGGATATTTATATACCTATAGATGTAGATAAAGATATAGGGATATATAGAGATGAATATATAGCAATATGCATGAATAGATATGAGTATCTCCTATTGGTTCTGTTTCTAAAGAGAAACCCTAATATAGTCTCCAATTGCGGAATAACCTGTTTTTCCATTCATTTCTGCCAGTTTTTGCTTTCTATATGTTGGGGCTCTCTTATTTGGTACATATGTTTATCACTGTTTCGGCTTCCTAGTAGATTGAACGTTTGAAAATAGTCAAATGTCCCTCCTCATCTCTAGTAACATTTTTTCTTTTAAAGTCTGTGCTGTCTGGTGGTAGCGTAGCCACACCAGTTTTCCTGCAGGGCTGTTTCCTAGATGTATCTTTTTTGATCATTCACTTTTAATTCGCTGGTGTCTGTGAAGCTGACGTGCGGGGCCCCCATAGACAGCACAGGTACAGATCCTGGCTCTTGTTTGCTTTGAAATCATGTCTGAGGCCGGCGCCGCGGCTCACTAGGCTAATCCTCCACCTTGCGGCGCCGGCACACCAGGTTCTAATCCCGGTCGGGGCGCCGGATTCTGTCCTGGTTGCCCCTCTTCCAGTCCTGCTCTCTGCTGTGGCCCGGGGGGCAGTGGAGGATGGCCCAAGTGCTTGGGCCCTGAGACCAGGAGGAACGGCAGGAAGACCTTTCTCTCTGTCTCTCTTTTTTACTGTCTAACTCTGCTGTCCCGGTTGCCCCTCTTCCAGGCCAGCTCTCTGCTGTGGCCAGGGAGTGCAGTGGAGGATGGCCCAGGTGCTTGGGCCCTGCACCCCATGGGAGACCAGGAAAAGCACCTGGCTCCTGGCTCCTGCCATCGGATCAGCGCGGCGCGCCGGCCGCAGCGTGCCGGCCGCAGCGGCCATTGGAGGGTGAACCACCGGCAAAGGAAGACCTTTCTCTCTGTCTCTCTCTCTCACTGTCCACTCTGCCTGTCAAAAAATAAAAAATAAAAAATAAAAATAAAAAAAAAAATCATGTCTGACAAGCTCAGCTTTTTGACTGACTCACTCGATGCCTTCACATGTAATGTTGTCACTGATTTAAAATATCTCCCATTTTATTTTCCATTTGCTGTATGTCTCAAATCTTCTGTGTTCTAATCTTCCTTTACTGCTTTCTTTTGCATTAAATATTTTCCTTTTTCAAACATTTATTTTATTTATTTGAAAGGCAGTGATACAGAGAGAAAGAAGGACAGACAGACAGGTCTTCCATCCACTAGTTCACTCCCCAAATGGCCTCGATGGTCTGGGTTGGGCCAAACTGAAGCCAGAAGCCAGGAGCCTCTTCCAGGTCTTCCACATGGGTGCAGGGCCCCAAGCTCTTGGGCCATCTCCAGCTGCTTTCCCAGGCATATCAGCAGGGAGCTGGATTGGAAATGGAGCAGCCGGGACCCAAACTGGCACCCATATGGGATGCTGGCACTGTGGGCAGTGGCTTTTCCCACTACACCACAATGCCAACCCCAAGTATTTTCCTTTTTTTAAAAATTTATTTATTTATTTGAAAGGCAGAGTTACAGAGGAGCAGAGGCAGAGAGAGAGAGAGAAAGAGGGGGGTCTTCCATCCATTGGTTCATTCCCCAAATGGCCACAACAGCTGAGGCTGGGCCAAGCCAAAATCGGAAGCCAGGAACTCCATCCAGGTCTCCTACTTGGGTGGCAGAGGCCCAAACACGAGGTCCATCTTCTGCTGTTTTCCCAGGCGCATAAGCAAGGGAACTGGATATGAAGTGGGGCAGCCAGGACTCACACTGGCACTCAGATGGGATGCCAGTATCTCGGGCAGTGACTTAACCTGCTGCACCACAACACCATCCCTTAAATAAATATTTTCTAATGTGCCACCTTAATTTGCTTAATGCTTTTTTTCCACCTTTTTTTTTTTAATGGCCTTTTCTAGAGTGGCCATTTGGCACACTACTTGAGGGGCTAGCATTGCCCAGAAGGTTAAGCCACTGCCTGCAACACTAACATCCCATGGGAGCCCTGGTTCAAGTCCCAGCTGCTCCATTTCTCATCCAGCTCCCTGTTAGTGTGCCTGAGAAGGCAGCGGGAGAGGCCCCAAGTGCTTGGACCCCTACCACCCTCGGAGACCTGGATGAAGTTCCAGGCTCCTGGATTCGGCTTGGTCCCACCCCAGCTATTGCAGCCATCTGGGGAGTCAACCAGAGGATGAAGGATCTCTCTCCCTCTCTTTTTCTCTCTGTAATTCTGCCTTTCAAATAAATAAATAAAAAAGAAAAGATACTACTTGAGACACCTACATCCCAAATCGGAATGCTGGGTTCAAGTCCTGGCTCCATTTCCACTTCCGGCTTCTACTAACATTCACCTGGGGAGGCAGCAGTGGTGGCTCCACTGCTTTGGTCCTTGAATCTCATGTGGGAGACCAGACAGAGTTCCTGGCTTCCGGACTTGGCCTGGCCCAGCTCTAGCTGTTGTGGGCATTAGGGAGTGAACCAGCAAATAGAAGAGCTCTCTTTATCTGTTTCTGTCTCTTTCAAATAAATAAAAAGAAATAAATACTTTGAAAGTTTTATTTTTTAATACTTTGTTAGTGATTGCTTTAGGTAGGGCTTACATCTAAACTTATCAGAATCAGCTTCAGATTTGTTCTAACTTCATTTCAATAAAATATAGATATATTACTCCTATAGCTCATATCCCCTCCCCCTTTTGTGGTATTATTCCAGAGATTACATCTATAAATGTGGACTGAGAGAGGTGGGCATTTGGTGCAGTGGTGAAGATGGCTGTTGGGGGAGTTGACGCTGTGGTATAGCGGGTAAAGCCTCTGCCTTGTAACGCCAGCCCCCCATAGGGGCACTGATTCGAGTCCTGGCTGCTCCACTTCTAATCGAGCTCCCTGCTAATGCGCCTGGGAAAGCAGTAGAAGATGGCCCAAATCCTTGGGCCCCTGCACCCATGTAGGAGACCTGGATGAAGCCCCTGGCTCCTGGCTTCAGCCTGGCTTAGCCCCAGCCATTACATCATTTGGGGAGTGAACCAGCAGATAGAAGCTCACTTGCTCTCTCTCTCTCTCTCTCTCTCCTTCTTTCTCTCCCTCCGTCCCGCTTTCCTCTGCCTCTCCTTCTCTGTTACTCTTTTAAATAAATAAATAATTTTTTTTTTTAAAAAGATACCTCTTAGAACCTGCATCTAGCTTGACTTCGGATTCCAGCTTCCTGCTGATGTGCACCCTTGGAGGTCTCGGGTGAGAACTCACACGCTTGGCCCCTGCCACC